CCGCCAACAACGGCACCATGGAAGCCGTCCACGCCAACGGCCGACTCCTGAGGCCGGCGCCAACAACAAGCTCACTGACGAGTGTCTGGTTCACAAACGCCGGTCCGCATATGGTATTGACCTGCGAAGCGGCTGAGCCGTACGTGTTGGCGATTGGCTGTTTCCGATTGGCGGTAGCGGCCTGGAAGACGTTCATAGTCTGCTGCAGACAGGAACTACACGACGGGACGGTGCTGCCGGGAAGGGATATGTTGAGCGGGAGGTAGTAAAAGTACACGTTGGAGGGGTTGGAGAGGTTGGTGATGGCATTGGCGTAGCAGTACATGGACGTTGCGGGGTCCTTGAGGCACCCGACGCTGTACAGGGGCGCATAAGCCACCATGGCCATGTAGGCGTCACGGACAATCGAATTCCCAAGGGCAAAATCGTTACCGCAGTTTTCGGGTTTTGTGAGGTTCTTGGACAGGTCGGACATGTAGTTGTTGCAGAAGGTGGCGTTGGGGGCGCAAGATGCGTCCAATACCTGTGTAATACTCACGAGCGACTTCTCCGCGTTGAAGAACGACCGAGATCCCTGGTAGAAAGATAAGCAGCTGAATATGTATCAATCACGAGAGCTGCCCCGGCTTACCTGAAGGAGGAGGGAAAGGGGATAGCACTGCTTGAACAATGGATCCGTAAGAAACGAGTTGATAAACCCCGGACACGGCGTCTCTCCCTCCTCGTTGGAGGTAAAGTTTGACGACAGTCCGCCGTCAAGTGGGCTAGGAAGTGGGCTTGCCGGAACCGTTGTGGTTGTGGAAGCTTGTGTTACGGTTGACACGGCAATTTGGAACGTCGTTGTCACCTGGGGGTCGGCCGGCGCGCGCTTCATCTTGCGCAACTCCATATCATCGTTCGAAAGCATGACCCATCCCCCACCCTCTTGAAGGGGTGTCCTCGAGTCCATCACAAGGGTTTCCATAGGTTCGATAGCGTCAGCAGTGGCGGCCATAGTATGGCAGACAAGACAGGCGAGCACAACGAGGATGGCGGTCCATGATGTTGTCGGCCTGTGGTGCGAGGATGTGGGAGACTGGACACGGCGGCCCGAGAGCAGCAGCGAAGCGGTTAGAGCCATTGTGAAGCGGCTGTTTAGTACTTTTGCGGTGGTCGTTGCAACATTACTCGGCGCAACAATGCAGGTATAACGAGTGACTGATTCCTCCCCGATCGGCTGGGTTAGACAAGCAGATCGGTCGTGGGTCTTGGGCGCGTTCGTGAAAGGCGCTGGGCGGGAGGTTTCCAGAAGGCCGAGGGACGGCTGAGGGCGTGTTTTGTTTCGAACAGTTGCTCTGTTATAGCGACTCTATGGGGATATCGTCGGCCGCATCCAGGTGACAGGGCAGATTCCTGTGCCCTGCTGTCGAGGCGGGACCGAGTCTTTCGGCCGGGGAATCAATATGGGCTGGCGGGTAAATATAGCGATGCCGTGTGTAGAGAGGGCCCAAAGAGGGCGAGGCCAATGGGAAGAGCGGCAGAGAGATATAAATTTGTTTGATAATGCCGTTGCTGCTTCTGGCAGTGCAGATTGGTGTGGACCTGGTGCGGATTGCGCGGGGGCGGTCCAATTGTTTCGTTTTGGTGATCTGCGATGTTCAGACGATGTCAAAGTCGAAATGGTCAACACAGGAATCCAAGATTCAAATAACACGAGCGACGAAAAAGGGAACGAGCCCAGATGATCTTGGCCAGTCACGCAACCGCATGGAGCAGGACCTGGGCAGGACCTGGGCAGGACCTGGGCCTGCCCATAAGCCGCCAGGGACCCCAGAGCGGCCAGGGGTTCTCAGGAGGATCCTAGGATCCTAGCAAGCCAACGGCGCGAAGACAAGGGGGTGCGAGGGGACAGTGTTGAAGCGATCGGGTGCAGCACACCAACTTCTCCCACAGCAAAAGCATCGCCCACTAGTATCTATTTCCCGCCTAGCGCCGCTACTATTGGCTCAGCAGTGGTGCCATGGTGTTGTTGCGGTAGTGGGGTCCCCGAACGGTACCTGACAGCGGCTCGACAGGAAGGGAAATCGCTGTCTCACGTTTATCGAGGCTATCCCAGCGCCTTTTCGCGCCCTTTCCGCTTTGGATCCTCACCAAGACCCCCGAACTGACATTTTTCGTCGACGAATTCGTGCAAAAGCTCACCATCGCCTTGGCGGAGGGCATCCGCACCCGAGTGGCAAGTGGCACGGCGATGTTTTATTGATTCTTTGCATCCTGTCTGCCTGCGTTGGGTCTGACGGCAGGCGTCTGCGGGACCGTTCAACCTCGATGCAGCCTCTCTAGATGCTGAGAGATAAGTGCCATGAATAAATGACCGGAGGCGGGCCGGTGGGATGCACACTGTAAGTCAGGGCCAAGCGGGTGATGCAGGTACAGATGAGCCAGACACGGCCCAGTCGAGGACACGATAACCCATTGTTCAAGCTCTGCCCATCCTGCCCTGCTTTTTGCGCCTGCTGCGATTGCTGCGATTACCACGGATACTACCTTTCGAGTCCTTACCTGTTCTTCTCACACGGCCCAATGCAGACGACACAGCGAGGCAGGAACCCAAGAGAAGAAAATCTCCGCATAAGCGAGATTCAATGCTCCCCTGGCCAGCGGACGCCTTACGTTCACGCTACTGCATCGTCACCACGTAACTGCATCCTTTGTCGAGAGTGGAGGGTTGCGGTAGTTCTCACACTAGTCGTAGTGTTGTCGCACAAACAATCGTAGTAGTAGTACTACTACACTGGGTTGTCTGTCGTCAACAAGACTGCAAATGTCTTGATACTGGAATGGTGATCTCTGGGGCACAACGTGTGTGACTCTGGACGATCAGCGGCTGCTGGCCTTCGAGAAGGAACCACCCAAACTCGCAGCAAGGCCAAAATGGAGCGCCCAGAAGGAAGCTGCCGGATCGACAGGGCGACCTTCAGGGGGGGGCAGATACGCTAACTGGGTCCACTGCGGGGGTCATGGCCAGTTAAAGACAAGGACGCGCCCCATGGCGTCAGCGACTCCAAATTAACCCCACTCCGCAGTTGCCAGTCTTGGTAAAGTCGAACAATCGTGAACAAAATAATGCATTACTCTCAATTTTGGCCATTTTTCTTCTCACGAGGTTTGCTCCATGGACCCACGGTTCACCACCCTTCGCCTCACCCACTTGCCGCCCACTTGCCGCCCACTTGCCACCCACTTGCTATCTGATAGAGCGTCGATAGGTGTCGATAGTCTCAGGGCCAAGAAACTGCACCGCGAGGAATGCATCCTCCCGCGCTCCCGTGCCCATCGCGTGCCCATGACAGACATAACAGACGCCTTGCGTCCAACAGCCCGACGGCAAAACGCGATGCTGTGTCACGTCACACTGCCGTCGCCTATCAGCCTTGTGACGTCCCCGCCAATATTTCATCAATTTGCCCTGTGGCGGCCGCTATTATGCTGGTTGGTGAGGGGAAATCAAAATCATCCCAGCCAGCGGCAGAAGAGAGTCACGATGCCCTCATCGCAAGCTGATAAGAAATAATGACCAAAGGAAAACATCGGGATAGGGCCGGACACAAATCGCCATCTCCGCCCCGAGAACCCAAGAGACGAATCCATGGCCATTGGATGACCGACCGCCAGCAAATACTGCAGTCAATCTCCCTGAACCGCGAATCGGGATAACTACCAGATGTCTGGCGGAAAGTTTGGTCGCAATGATAAAGGCCAATCTTTACCACACCCCCCTCCGTGGTTGGTTACCAGCCAGGGCGTTAATCTCAGTTCTCAGCCGCAACCGCCAGCCGTCAACCCTTCGGGCAGGTCAGACCCAAACTCCCAGTGGGTAGTCCTACTCATCAGAGACATCACAAGGGAAGGACACCACTGTCCAAGACACCTGTCTAAGCCTGCCACGTTCTCATCTGACATCCCGCGTCCATGTCTCTCGGCAACCCGGTGCAGCTGTCCGACAACAAGAATCTCCCGTCGGTGAATAAAGTCGGTAGGTTCCAATATTGCAGCGGGTCAGAGCCGCTGGACCCGTCAGTGCTCATAAAAAAATCCTTCTCTGCAGGGCCTCCTCGTTGGTCACTGGTCGCTGTACCGCTGATTGCTTACGGACAACCGGGATAGGCCTTGTGAGTCTTCGCGGTCGTGTGGCGTCTATCTGTCAACTGGTGGGATACGTAAACGACCGGATGCAGCAGGTAAAGTGTGTTCGATTTGCAGACTACGTATGCATGTACTACGGCACACTTCTTCGTCAAGCGACTCGTCTTTGTGTTCCCCGTCTTATCAGCTTTGTTGAAGCTGCGTACTTGGTCGGGCTGAGTAACACAATCCCTTCGATCGAGGGCGTGGGAAATGGGAGTTGCCTCTGACAACACTCCCTTTTCCGACATCGCCTGTGCTCGGGGGACGATGGGAGTGCAACTTATCCATACCAATACCGCGGACAGGCTGACAGAAAGAAGCGCCCCAAATAATGGCATTGGCAATATGGAGCTGAGGCAACTGTAGCGTGACTATGGCGAACGCGTACATGAGTCATATTTTACAGTACGGTGAACATACAGCCCCGAGGCCTGAGGCTAGCCACGAAGTCTAATGCTTCGAGGTATGATGCGTGTCCAGTGGCCCCCAGCATACAGACATCGTACCCGGAAGCCGCTGTCTCTTGTCTTCGAGTTACCTACTAGTGACTTCTTCTGGTTCGATGAGACAGCTCAATGCTCACCGCTGGCTGCACATCTACAAGTACGGCTCGGGGGCTTATACTTCAAGTTCCCAGATGTGGTTTCCCACAGCAGTAACAAAAGTAAGAAGCTTCACACATGTAGAGTGAGTGTCCTATCGGACCAAGCAAGTTGGTTAACTGGGGGCAATTAAAAAGCATATTTAACTGAGCCGAGGTATTGGTAGAGTCTTTTATTTACTTAGACACAGTTTTCGGGCCATCCCAACAACTCAAATGCATCTTCGGATTCGGCTCAGTGGTCTAGTGGTATGATTCGTGCTTCGGGAGTTACCCCATTACTTGAACACTAGTAATTGTGCGAGGTCTCGGGTTCAATCCCCGACTGAGCCCACCATCAATATGTTTCTTTTTGCCGTTTCCAGACTCTTTTTGCGTCTTTCCTGCCCAGGGGTGTTGCTTTGGGCGCTCCTCGCAACCTAAAAGTCAAATTTAGGAGGGGTGGAAACTAGGGGCAGGGAGCTCAGGGGTAGTAAACACAAAGGGCAGAAGTTGTCTTGTCAGCGATCAAGTTTCGATATGTTTTGCCTACCTTGCCACGAGGCCCAGGGGCAGTCAAGTTGATGTAAATAGTGGCTGCTTTGGGCTGTGTTTTCTTACCCCTTTTGCATCTTCATAAGTAGTTATCTCATGGACTTGAAATACCAACAGTTCAGTTCTCCATGTCATTTGTCATTTCGAACCACTCACTACATCCAGGAGAGCTCAAAATCCCGTGATTGTGGCTTATTGTCAAATTCAACTCTATGACTCATGCCAGTCTTTATTCAGCAACCAAGTTCCCACACCAGAAAAGCAAAAGCATCGAAACCAAGCCACACCAAGTCCACTCCCACAACTCCGAGGCTCCATCAAGCCCCGTCGAGCTCCTCTCAAGAGCCAGTCTCCTCGTCTAAATCCACATACGCAGATAAGGTCGCATGGTGTAGTTGGTTATCACGTCAGTCTAACACACTGAAGGTCCGCAGATCGAACCTGCGTGTGATTAGAAGCAATTATTTCTGCCTCTAGAGCAATTATTCTCCACTAAGTATTGTCTTTGGCGCTGCTAGATACATTGTTATCGTAAACGAAGATTTTGCCGCCACGCAGGTGGCTCTCACACGGTGCTTCTTCAGGATTGCAGCTAACTTTTGGCATATTGAACAGTCTAATGTGTATCAACTGAGTTTGGCCCCTTTTATGCCAAAATATTTTGAAAGGTATGTATCGTTCTTACGGGAGTGCAAGTGTTAAATAAGGGGTTGGACCGTTGGACTATCCGTGGTTATCATCCAAGCGTGAGACCGTCCCCCTCAAGTGTGTTGTTTCTCTACGCTCAAGACATGTCACTGCTCAAATGATGTTCACTATCCACGCGGCGAAGGTCATGCTCCATTTGCCAGTCAAGCTACCTAAGAACCACGGCAATGGCTAGCACTGGGACATTGTGTTAAAAGCGTGGCGAGGAAGTTTGGGGCATATAGGAGGGAAACAACGGTATAGAATGTCTCATCACCTTGATCAGGGCATCATCGTCCAGTACTGTCACGGCAGGTAGCATTGACAGTATATAACTCACAACCTGAATTCCGAGTGTCGACTTGGAAATCTGGCATTCCTTTTAGAAGGTTGGCGCGGTTAGGCGTGGGTCAAGTGCTCTTCCGTTACAAATATCAAGTATCGCTGCCGAAGTGAGGCTGGCATCGATCACGGTAGTCTCATGGCAAAACAGCAAGCTATGTCTCAAAGAACCCTCATAGGCCATCATAAACCCCACGATTCTACGAGAGGTCTCACTGGCATAACGCATGGGTATGTGGCATCACAGCGTGTACGCAAACCAAAGTCACATCTGACAACCCATTATACACAGGAACGGCAGGAGACACTTTCATCTTCTGGGGGTTTAGATAAAAAGGGGTTCACACATACCCTGCGGTGACAGCGGGGGTATATCATCTTGGTTTACAGACCTCCTACCTAGTAAACAAGGAAGTGAGTAGAGTGTAGTGGAAGTACGCTGTGTAACTGAGGGCTATCTGGACCCTATTCAGCTAAACTGCAAGGCAGACCTCAGTGTCTACCTAGACAACTTGGCGGACTATTTACTCGGACATGGATGTACCAGGACAGACCTCGACACCTGGGAGTTCCCTGCTTGCTGTACTGCAATGTTTTGGGCTCAACCTGGGGTCCACTTCCCTCTGGTGTTTTTTGTCCTGGTTTAGTAAGATATGAACGAAAGCCTCAAAACACAGACTGGGTCATGGACACAGTCACACACCAGCTTCAGGGGCGATCCACGTTGCCACCACCCAAACCCACATCGACACAACCACCCCGCCCCCCCCCAGCACACCGCCAGCCCGGCTTGAACACGGACGGCTCAATAGGCAACCGAGGCGATCACCACGCCACCTCGCCAGCGCGCCAGACCCGCGTGGCCGTTCATGCCCGGAAGACGGGTCACACACCTCATAAAAACAACCCGAGTCCGTTTCACCCTGCCCTCTCCCGCCTCTGACCAATGTCCGCCTCAGCAAGCTCAACTCCAAGCAAGCAATTCCGCTGCAGCCGAGTTCAACGGACTTACCCCAAAGACGATCGACCAACAACACCAGGCAAGCCCCATTGGAACCCCCCCTAGCTGAGCCCTTCTAGCAATGCCTTCGTATCCTCCGCCTTGCCCAAACCAGACCGTCTGAACCAAGCAGACCTCCACCCCGTGGCGACACGGACAGCTAAGCAAACTCGCCTCTAACCGGATCCTCGCGGTCACATCCAGCAAGGCCCGAGAAAGAAAAAAAAAAAGAGCCATGTAACAAGCCCATCATATATATCCCCCACCCCATAACCAATCATGCACACTGTGCCCGGAACCCCATCCGAACATACGAACCCACCAAGTCCAATATCCAGCAAACCATCCTACCCCCAGCCAGCTGACGACCCCATACACCTTTAAACCACACACACACACACACACACACACACACACAAAGCTCACAGCAGAAAGCAAGGCTAAACCCCACCCACGACCATAGCTGCCCATCCAGCCCCGGTATAGCCCAGCGCAATACCGACACACGCCCAACAAGTCCACACGCATAGTCCGCCAAGGTGAATACCATCTACCACAGCCGCATCCAGCTCACCCCCAGCGGGGCGAAACCACGCCGACACCGACACGGCCATTACAGCCAGGAGTTAAGCAGACACACACATAGAGAGAAAGAGAGACCGACACCGACTGGGTGGGGAGACGGTGGCGGCTACTCACTCGCTCCACCTAAACAAGAAAGCGATCCGCTTCATAATAGCATGAAAAGCTATACCTCGCCAGCCAAAAGCCCATCCCCATTCAGACAAGAATACCTAGGTAATACCTCGGTGCTTCTTCTGATCGGCGAGCGGGCAGCGTGTCAAGCAACCGTGGCAAACAACGCGTGAAAAACAGCGGCGAACATCTTAACATATAAAATATCTCCCCATAACAGCTATATCACCGCCCACTTCTTTACAGGGAAAGTAATGAGCCGGACTGACAGCCCGGCCAAGTCAAACCGTGACGTGTAAAGCCAGGCTATGCGCAGCAGACAGACCCAGAACGTAGCAAACCAATGCCAGACCAAATCCAGGGCAACTAGCCCTAGAACCAGACCTCACAAATGTCCCCGGGGAGTGTCCCGGAAAGGTCCCTGGCGGGGAGCCAGAGCTCGCTTTAGCCGTCGCCGAACTCGCGGCGGCGTAGAAGCAAGCCCCAATAACAGCACAAAACCACCCGAACCTTCCAGAAAACCGCCCCAGGAGACGTCAGTGATCGCTCCATGATTGCCCGCGGTAGATCAATCCTTACAAAGGGGAGGCGAAATAGATGCCGCCCCGGGGACACGGAGCAAGACGCCATCTCATATGAACCCCAGAACTAGCCGAGATATACACACCGTGTTGTGTGCGCGCTCATTGCGTACCTCTAGAACATGCTCTAAGGAGCGGGTTAGCAAACACACCATGAGACAGCCCTGACACAAAGATGAGAGACCCGGATCATTCCCACGTTCCAGAGGTGTGTGTGAGTGGGTGTTCGTTCTTTTCCCGGCAGAGCCAACCGGCCGGCCGGCCGTGTCAGTCAGTCAGTCGGCGATTAAAATTTTCCTTTGTCTGGTCGTCTGCTCTCTTGCCAGGCCACCTTGCCAGGCCACTAGCCCGGCATTAGTCGTCTGAAGATGTTCCAACTGGGTGACCGAGTGGCGTGCCGTCATGCCCCCCGGGATCGGTGGTAACAACCGCGCGATCAGAGGCGGCAGAGTAGTTGGTCCCTAGCATGGGGTCATAGAAAAACAATCACGCCGCTTTGCCACCCGGATGATCGTTCGTATCTGGGAAGCCCACAACACATGCGTTCCCATTGTCCTGATGCAGGTAAAAAGCGCACACGACAGCAGCGCCGCAGATCAGCCTGACTGCCCTAGATCATGTTGGAAACTCCACCTAGCAAAAAGTGTGCCCGGTGAGAGGGATCTTCGCTAGTACGCGGCAGTGGGCCGAGGCAGTTGCCTGGGAGCCAAGCAAATTGCCGTACATGGGACTCCCGGCGACAGCATAACCAGCGTTCTCCTCCCAGGTTCCACAGTCAAGGGATATATAGGGGGGAATGCAAACAACAGACGGCCATGAAGAACGCTTATGGTAGGCGATGTTTGGCGCGCGAATCGGCTTCTTTGCTGCAAAAGAAAACAGCAACAGGTAACGTTGCAGATCACGCCTCCTCCTCCCAACCGGAAAGGAAAGGACCCTTCACACGCGCGCCTTAAACGAACTCCAGGCGGCCGGAAAGGAGGGCAATTAACTGAGTTCCCGGTTGAGAAGCCGAAGGAGAAGGTGGACGGGTGGGAAAAGTCGCTTGGGGCCAATTCCCGCGGCATGCTCACTTAGACGAACGACTGAAAAGACTGCCTTCTTTCCAGGAACCTGGAGGACCCCATATTACACGGCGCATATTAATGATGCAGTCATGGCGTTCCCGAGCCCTCCTAGTGGCCCTGGCGAGAAGTCCCGATATGAAGCCGAAAAGGAACACGGTGACAGTCAAGCAGGGCAAGCTGGCTGGTGTGGACTGACGGATTTGGAGAAGAGGTAGATTTACCCGGGTTCTGACCTCTCGTCTATCGTGCAGGGCCCCTGCCGTCAGATCTGTCATCTCGGGAGTCTCTTGGGAGATCGAAGTGCCAACTGAAACCCACGAGGCCTTAACAAAAGCAGAATCGGCAAATTGGGCTGCTGGCCATCTCACGACGGAGCCGTGGGATCCCGATCCAGAACCTCTGCAGAATCCATCTGAAGTCGAGGGG